TTCTCGACACGTGCGTTGCACGTGTATGTCAAGTTATACAAAACAGAGTTTTATGAGTAATATCAATATTAAAAAAATAAATTTACGTGAAAGAGTATTTATTGATGTAAATATTCAATGTAAATCATCATATGGTAACTTTTGTTGAGGTCAAGATGATTGGATACCCTCTAAATCTTTGTGAAGATATATAATCAAAGTTTAATTAGTTATTCATGTAATTCTTTTTACTTAATTTGATTTTATACGGTACAAACACATGATATATCTCATCTATAATTCGTTTTTATCGATATTCCTGGTGTATGTTACTTTCATCAGTTTTGATTGCTCTATCATGACCAAGACTCTTTCTATCAACATTGATATTCTTCTTGAAAATGCAATGCAAGTTGACCATTGAAAAAACATAGTGTAGTGTAGTTGCAATCCAACATTGAAAATTGTTTGACTCTATATTTTATTTATCGTCATTGCAGAAAATAAACATAAGCATAAAATAATATTTTCTAGTGAATTTGAAAGATATTCTTTATTTTCAGGGGCAAAAAGTTAAAATATTGAGAAAAACACATGCTTGGTTGTAGATAGACTTGTTATAATTTCTGCATGTACATAATTATTATCAAATTCTCTATAGATTATCCTTGTAGTCATTTGAAGGGTCTAACTTTTTAAGTTGCATAATAGCTAGGTGCATTTTCTTTCACAACTAACATGTTCAAGTTAACATAAATATATCTAATTTCTTGTTTGTGTTTGTAGGCATATAAGTATATAAATACTACAGAATGAAAAAAGCAAGAGAATAAGAGAAATGTAATTTTGCATGATGGATTTGACAATGTACCTATATAGCGGAAGACCATTTAGTGATAAAATATTCAGATATTTTCCTTGATATAGTAATTATTGGTATCATTTTTTGGAAAGTCAAAACTAATAAGCATTTTGTTTTCACCAGAAAACTTGGTTATCAACATTTTGTTTAGGTGATCCACATAGTCCTATTTGTCATGAATTTTGTAGAACTGACATTGTCCACTGATATAAATATTTCTTTTGTTGAAGATATAATCGACAGTTCAACTCATTAATAAAGGCTAAAAATAAGTAAAGAATATAATACAAATTAAAAATATCACTACCGATTTCATATTCTGCTTTAGTTTCCATTTTAACTGAACTTGGGATAATTAGGTGGATAAACCAAAGACAAACCAAATTAGCATTCTTGTTTAAATAAATGATAAGTTGGAATAATATTTAAAAATTTAACATCTTATGCCGGTAAGAGCTATTATTGTTTTTGTTGATATATTACAATAATTTTAATTAGTAAAAAGATAAAAGTATTATCAATTGTGTGACAGAATAACCCAAGTAACCTATTAGAAAGAGTTCAATATAAATTAAGATTAGACGATTAAAAAGATAAAAGAAAATATAAAAAAAGGCGTCATAACGGAATTGAGTGCGATAAGTTCTTAGCGAGTATATATGAAGGAAATAATGAGTTAAAAAATATGTACTTTATTAAAAATATTTGTTTAACCTAATCGAAAGGAACTAAAATCAAACTGTTTAACAAAAAAGGTAAACGGATAAATTAAATGACGCAACTGTAACAGGAAAGCATTCTAGCACTATTGTCATTCTTTTAGAGAGATACTTTTTTATTATATTACGAAAATTAGGGGTGTTCATGGTTCGATTTGGATCGGTTTTTTCATAAAAAGAAACCAAACCAAGTAAGTCGGTTTTTCAAATATTAGAACCAAACCAAACCAATTAAGTCATTTTTTTCTCGATTCGGTTTATGTTGGGTTTTTCGATTTTTTCGGTTATTTGTCGGTTTTTTCTTAAATATAAGACATACACTACCAAACACATATTCCAGCGATCACATTTTCAACGAAATACTATCAAATCAATTGCCCTTTGAGAAATCTATTATTTACAAAGATATATTGATGATAATTGAATCAAATAGTGATGAATAATTTAAGGACTTAATTAAAAATATATTATTTTTAACACGAAATGAATTCTTACACTTAACAAAAGAAAACTACTAATCAAACTAGAATGTAAAGGTAAAGAACTATACTAAAAGTGCAAACTATTACTCCCTCCGGTCCACAATAAGTGACCAATTTGCTTTTAGCACGCCCATTAAGAAAATACTAAATTCTATATAAAAATACCTAGTATGACTAAACTACCCTTAATTAAATATTTAATGTGAGGAGTAAGAAAACTTTTTAGGGATATATACATAAGGTTAATTTTGTAAAAACAAATTGAATTCTTTCTCGATTATATAAATGGATACTTATTTTGGACAAAATTTAAAAAGTAAATTGGTCACTTATTGTGGACCGGGGGGAGTAACATTTACCATAAAATTTTTGAAACTTTGTATTAAAATATTATAGGTGTAATAATAAATTTGAAATTGCTACTCCTATAGTCGGTTTGGTTCGGTTCTGATTAAAACCAAAACCAAACCAAATTTGATCGGTTTTTAAAATTCAAAACCAAAACCAAACCAAACCAAAAAGTATCGATTTTTTTGGTTGATTTGGTTTGGTTTTCAGTTTGGTTCGGCTTTTCGAATTTTTATGAACACCCCTAAAGTATTGATTTTTTTGGTTGATTATTCAACGCCTACTGTATAAAGTTCGGTGTTGAAACCCGATTTGGTGGATGAATTGATCTCATACGACAAAAGTTTTGTCACAAAACCATGTACAATGTTCTATTCTACTTATTAGGATTATTTTGCTTCGCAATGTAAAATTCATACTAATAGAAAAAATGAATGCAAAGAGTGAAACTTCTGTATGTCTAAACTCTAAAGCAGATGATGACTGTTTTTGATATCATGTGTAGTGGTATCCTTTGACTAATAATCGAAATGACAGATGTGTAACTTTTCATTTGAACCATTGCATCCTTTGGCGAATTATCGAAATAATTTTATAGGTTATTTCGAAGGGTAATTATGTAATTTGACATTTTTTTTGGGGTTTCTACTTTTATAATAATATAAATATAGATAGATAAATACTACCCCTTACTAGATTAAAATAGCAAGATAATCATGCTAATCACTCAAGATTTATTTATTAAGACCTCTATCTCTAAAAATTAAACTAAGCTAGATTAAAAATATATCTTTTTTGGAAACTTTTCTTTCTTCATAAATGAGAATAAAACTTATACTAAAATGTGACTCTTTTTATCATTTTCAATTTTCTTAAGTAAAACCTATAAAAAGGTGAAACAAAAGTTACAATATAAAGATTAAACTTAAATAATATTTACATACTAAAAAGTGGTGAAATTCAAATATAGTAAAAACTTAGGTGCTCACACAATTTAATAATCTAATTTTTTGCCTTTACATTTTAGTTTGATTGGTAGTTTTTCTTTTGCTAAGTACAAGAATTTATTTCATGTTAAAAATAATCGATTGTTAATTAAGTACTTAAATTATTCATCACTATTTAATTCAATTATTATCAATATATCTTGGTAAATGATAAAATTTTCAAAGAGCAATTGATTTGATAGTGTTATGTTGAAAATGTAGTCGTCGGAATAGCGTTTGGTTTGTATGTCTCGTATTTAAGAAAAAACCCATTAAATAACTGAAAAAACCGATAAACCGAAAAACTGAATCGATAAAAAATTGACTTATTTGGTTTGGTTTGGGTCCAATATTTGAAAAATCGACTTACTTGGTTTGGTTTCTTTTTAGGAAAAAACCGATCCAAACCGAACCATGAACACACCTAGTAAAAATTATGAAAAATTAAAGTTCAAATCGCAATAAAGACAAAAAAATGATATACCTATTTTTCTTTGCCTAAATCTTGATGACAGAATTATATGATAAAGATAATATATAAATTATAAAATAATTGATGTACCCACAAGCTAACACAATCCACACTATGATTGGTAAAAAAAGTGAAGATGTACATTTTGATTTTGAGTTCTCTAGTAATATTTACTCCGTTTCAGTTTATATCTTTAATACTCCAAAAAGAATAACATACTTGTGAATTTGAAAATAATTAGCTTTATATTTTTATTTTTCTCGTAATGAATATTTTTATAATGATACAAATATTTAGGCATGTTTAAAAATTTTTATATCCATACAAATTCTTTTATATATTTAATAAATTTATTACTATTTGTTTAAATTTTATCTAAATTCAAATTCTGTCATATTTAAATTGAAGGTGAAGTAATAAAATCGGCAGGTTTAGTGGAATGAGCGAAGCATTAAGCATAGTACCGGAGGTGTTGGTAGGAAATGGTGACACCTTGGACTTCACCGTACGCAGCTCAAATTTCAAGGCAGATCTAAGAAGCGTCTTATACTTTAGTAGACTCATCAAAGATCAATCATATTTCCCGACACCGACACTATTCTACTCGGAACTAAGCAAAAAAAAGGAGTTATTTTATTTTGTGTCTCATGCAATTTATACTAGTTATACGAGACCTCTTTTTATCTTACAGGACCCACATCTTATATATTTGGGTCCACAAAATTCTGAAACCCACATAGTTGTAAGACAAAAAAGAGGTCTCACACAACTAGTGTCAATTTTTCGCAAAAAAGAGTGCAAAATACTCCCTCCGGTTCACAATAAGTGTTCAATTTGCTTTTAGCACGCCCATTAAGAAAATACTAAATTCTATACAAAAATACCTACCATGACTAAACTACCCCTAATTAAACATTTAATGTGAGGAGCAAGAAAACTTTTTAGGGATATGTACATAGGGGTTATTTTGTAAAAACAAATTGAATTCTTTCTTGATTACATAACTGGACACTTATTTTGAACCAAAATGAAAAAATAAATTGGATATTTATTATAAACCGGTGGGAGGAAAGCATAGTCCTTGTTGTAAAGCGTGTCATCAATAAAATAGTTTGGCAATATTGCTTTCTTAAGAAAGAAAAGTAAAAAGTGGGGAGCGGGCTGTCTTAATACTTCATTCTTAAGATTACTCCTCGAAAGTCGAAAGTATATACTCTCTTCATCACTACTGACTGTAGAATCAGAAACTAAAACAAAATATGGGAAAATGGTGGAGCTCTTGGTTGCCTTTAATGGCGGTGGTGATGATGTTTCTACATGCGAATCTTATCAGCGGGGAAGATCCTTATAGGTTCTATACTTGGAATGTTACATATGGTGATATGTACCCTCTCGGTGTCAAACAACAGGTACACTCTTTCGAGCTTACTGCTTGAAAAAATGCAGAAAAAACTATTTATCTTTGTACAGTTGTTCGTCTTTCTCTCTTCTTCACTTACTTTCCCTACAGTTGTTTGAGGATTGGATTTTTTGCTGACAGCTTATTTTTATATTTTTTTCTGTTTAAAAATGGTAGGGGATATTAATAAATGGGCAATTTCCAGGACCACCAATTGAGTGTGTGACCAATGACAACTTGATTATCAATGTTTTCAACAATTTGGATGAGCCCTTTCTCATTTCCTGGTAATTACTCTTGCTTTGTGTTCCCATATTTCCCCTTGCTTATTGAGAAATTAGTTATTTTATTTTTTTGTTTTTGTTTGGTGGTAGGAATACTTTGTGTTAAGGGCAGAGCAGTTTTTATACAACATTGTGTTGTTTCATGTATCGTCATTGGCCTATATCCCCTACTGCTTTTAGAAACCATCTATACATGGGGATCTCTTCTTTCTTTTTAATTGTTTGAGTATAATGTTAAATTGTCAAAGGAGATATGTTACCTTATGTCCTGTGTACCAACTTAAGTTAATTAATTTACAGATATACATGCTTAATAAATGAATTCTGCATCTTCATTAATTTGAACAAAGATTTCCTAATAGGCTATATATCTAGCTCACATTTAAGTTTAGATATCACCACATTGAGAGTGTCAGTTCTATTACCATGATCCTGATAGTTTTCTACCCTATTGGTCTGATAATGTGTGCTACAAATTTGTTCTGTTCAATAACATGCATGGGATGATGCCAATTTAGGAATGGCGTCGAGCAGAGGAGAAATTCATGGCAAGATGGAGTCTATGGTACTAATTGTCCCATACCACCGGGCAATAACTTCACTTATGTTCTCCAAGTCAAGGATCAGATTGGTAGTTTCTATTACTTCCCTTCCCTTGCCTTCCACAAAGCAGCAGGAGGGTTCGGTAGCATAAATATCGCCAGTCGCTCTGTGATTCCAGTTCCTTTTCCTCCTCCGACTGGAGAGTTCTCCATACTTACTGGAGATTGGTTCAAACAAAACCACAATGTGAGTGTTTGCTAACTCCAAGTATTTCGTTTGTATCTTACCACTAAGTTTTAGTCTCTGAGTGAACAACTTGAACCAAGAGTTTCAGTTTCTGATCATCAATGTGCTTATTTGTATTTTATAGGACCTCAAAGCAATTTTGGACAGTGGGCACGATCTTCCCTTCCCTGACGGGCTTCTTATCAACGGACGTGGATCGAATGGTTATACATTCACCGTAGATCAAGGTGACGCTCTAATCATGCATAATCCGGTAAATTTCTTTTTCTCTATGTACTTCTCTTTCAGTTAATCTGATGTGCAATTTTTTGGGGTTTCAGGAAAGACTTACAGATTGAGGATATCAAATGTTGGGCTTACAACTTCCATCAATTTCAGAATCCAGGGGCATAAAATGATGGTGGTTGAAGTAGAAGGGACTCACACTGTGCAAAATACATATGATTCCCTTGATATCCATTTGGGACAGTCCTACTCGGTATTGTTAACAGCAGACCAACCTGCAAAAGATTACTACATAGTTGTCTCGACACGTTTCACATCCCAGGTTCTCACAGCTACGTCTACTCTTCGTTATAGTAACTCAGCCGGAAGTGTTTCTGGCCCTCCTCCCAGTGGACCAACAACAGAAATTGACTGGTCTCTCAATCAGGCCCGATCTCTCAGGTGCATTTCTCTTTTAGTGAATGTTGCAATAACAAGGTTTCTTGTTATTTTTCCATTTTGAATTGCTAGATGAACAAAGTTCCTAATTCATTAGGACATGTAAATTGAACTGCATTGTGCCAATGGTTCCAATCATATGCTATTTTAATTTCGTTTTCGTGGTTCTTTAATACCTCTTGTTACAGAAATAGAGATTTAACTGCTTGCATTGTAACAGGCGTAATCTATCAGCTAGTGGGCCGAGACCTAACCCCCAGGGTTCCTACCACTACGGATTGATCAACACCACACGCACAATTAGGCTCGCGAATTCAGCTCCAATCATCAACGGGAAGCAAAGATATGCTATCAACAGTGTGTCATTTGTTCCAGCAGATACACCACTTAAACTTGCTGATCACTTCAATATTCCTGGGGTTTTTACCCTTGGAAGCATTCCGGATAGCCCTACAGGTGGTGGTGCTTACCTTCAGACATCCGTTATGGCTGCTGATTTTCGAGCTTATACTGAGGTTATCTTTGAGAATTTAGAAGACAGTGTGCAATCTTACCACATCGATGGCCACCATTTTTTCGTTGTAGGGTGAGTTTAAAGTTTCAAGATTCTATCCTTGACAATCTCAAGTAACTGAATAAAAGAGTTCTTTATAACAGGATGGGTGGAGGAGAGTGGACTCCTGCAAGCAGATTAACATACAACTTAAGGGATACGATTTCTCGTTCAACTGTTCAGGTAACTTAGATTAACTTCAATTCACATCTTGTAGACTAATATCTGAATTCTAAACACTCAGAACACCTGCAATTTGGTGCATTATTAATAGGCGTATCCGAAGTCTTGGACTGCACTTTACATGCCATTAGATAATGTGGGAATGTGGAATATAAGGTCTCAGAACTGGGCTCGCCAATATTTAGGACAACAGTTTTATCTGCGAGTTTATTCCCCTGCAAATTCCTGGAGAGACGAATATCCAATTCCCAGCAATGTCCTTCTTTGTGGTAGAGCATCAGCCCGAGGAATTTTGAACTAATAATTGGAACAATTTGCAGAACTGCTACATGAAGGTGGCTAGCATCATATTAAATTTAAATAGGGATTTATCTGCAAATAATAAATGCAGTTGGAGTCTCTCTTTTCTTTTATATAAGTTGTTACAGATGTGCTCATTGAACTAATGCGATTCTTGATTTTATTTAGTTGTCTTTGGCTTCAGTTATTTTCCTATTAACTATTAATGTGCTGATAAATTTCCGTTCTATTAGTGTCACGACCCATTTTCACAATAGGTCATGAGGGCGCCTGACACCCTTGTCAGGCAAGCCATTTGCGGAAACATTTCTAAATACTTATGTTGCATTTAATTAAAAATAAGTGAAATAAACACTCAAAGTGGAATTTAAACCAGAAGAACTGAATACTGTAATAATATGACTACACAACCCAAAAATGATCGTCTACCAAAGTGTGTGCCAGAACCTGGTGTCACAAGCTACGGGCAACTAGTAGAATATACATCCAAAAGAATACCACACTATCCTACTGTCTGGATCCGAATAGACAGAAAATAACAATACAAAAGAAAGACTTCTTCGGCTGCGGATCGACATGGAAGGAAAGCAGCTCACCGTAGAAGTCCCAAGCCTGCTCACGAATGCGCACCAGAGAAATAACCGGATCCACCTGCCTCAGACCCTGTACATTTAAGTACAGAAGCGTAGCATGAGTACATAAACAATATGTACCCAGTGAGTATCCCGCCTAATCTCGAAGAAGTAGAGACGAGAGGTCGACATGATACTCACGAGGGTCGAGATAATATAATATAATTATGCTAATCTAAGCATGAAAGTCACCAATATTCAACAAGTTATAACAAAGAGCAATAATCATGTTCTTGTCCTTATTTCAGTTTTCATTTTTCATTTTCAATTTCTAAGCAAGTAGGCATGTCATGTTCAAGTATGAGCATATATATATATATATATATATATATATATATATATATATATATATATATATATGTAATCACACCGAGGTCGATGGCCCGCTCCAACAGAATTAAAATGTGCACTGCCAAGGGTCGAACGGCACGAACCATAGATGCATCTATTCTCATCGATGCGATCTGCCCGATCCATAAATATCAAGAAAAACATCAAGAATGCACACGAAGATTCATACATATACCAGGAAGCTCTTACCAAGGCTTAGCAAGTTCATACGTTCACTTCATATTTCCTTTAAGTCTGTAGCATATCATGAATGATCATAGTGGCAATTTAAATAAGAGATACTTTCAATTTAGGCATGATGTGGGTCCTAAACTACCCGTACAATTAATATCATAGTAGCTACGCACGGACTCTCGTCACCTAGTACGTACGTAGCCCCCGCTTTTAGCAACAATTATTCAGTTATTACACCTATGGGGACAATTCCCTCTTACAAGATTAGAAAGGAGACTCACCTCGCTCCAACCCGCACTTCCAATATCGAAAACAAGTCCAAGCTCTTATTTCGAAGCCGAACAATCACAAACTAGTTAAAATAGGTAAGGACTAGTCAATAAAGGCTTAAAAGGTCGAATTCTAACTATTTAAGTAATTTCCCAACCTTTTCCACAAGTTTACTAAATTCCGACCCCGGGCCCACGTGCCCGGATACCGATATTTTTCGAAGGAAATTGTTCTCTACAACCTAAGGATCAATAATATATAAATTCTAGTCCATTTCATAACAAATTTCATGCTTAAATCTTAATTTTATTAAAACCCTAGGTCTAGCTCTAACCCTTTGATTTTATCTAATTTTAAGTGTTTAATCTACTTAATGTACATGTATTTAAGCTAATAATGAATGGGAGTAACTTACCTTGAAGTGTTATGTTGAAACCCTCTCTTTGGAAGCCCTCAAATCGCCTAAGTGTGGAGTGAGAAATGAAAAATGGCCTTTGAGTTCGAATTAAATGAACTCTCTGCCCAGCAATTTCCGCTTCTGCGGTGCTAGGACCGCTTCTGCGGAAATCGCTTCTGCGGAAATAGGCCCGCTTTTGCGAAAATGGCCCAAGAAGCCTGGACCGCTTCTGCGGTCAGGTGCCCGCTTTTGCGGGTCCGCTTTTGCGGATTTCGAGCCGCTTCTGCGGATTTGGGCCTAAGGAGCTGGACCGCTTCTGCGGTCTAGAGGCTGCTTAAGCGGAACCGCTTCTGCGGTCTCTGGGCCGCTTCTGCGGTTTCCCCTTGGCCTGGCCCTTTCCGCTTTTGCGATGAGCTGACCGCATCTGCGGCTTATGACAGAAGCAGCTACTTCAGCTCTTCTTCAATTTTCTTACTTAGCTCGCACCTCGCTCGTTTGACGCTCGGGGCTGCCGAGCCCCGCCCGAACACACCGACAAGTCTGAAATCACGAGGCGGAACTACTCGAATCCTCGGATCACTCAAAACAACGCTAAATCTTGGAATCACCCCCTAAAACCAAATGAATCAAACTATTGAATCTTCAAGTTCTTATTTCTCCTCTAACGGGTCAAAACGTCCTTAAACTACTCGGATTGGCACCAAATTTCACGGGCAAGTCTTAAATGACATTACGGACCTGTACCAAGCTTCGGAACCAAAATCCGAGCCCGATACCTAGGGAATCAATGATTTTCTTAGTTTTCTTTAGTTCTTTAAAGCTTCAATTAAACAATTTTGAACAAAAATTCATTACTCGGGTTAGGGACCTCGGAATTCGATTCCGGGCATACGCCCAGGTCCCATATTTTCCCACGGACCCTCAGAAATTGCCAAATCATAAATTCGGGTCCGTTTCCCAAGAAAGTTGACCGAAGTCAAACTTGGCCTTTTAAGGAATTCTTATGGAAACAATTAGGCATTCTTCACTCAAAAACTCTTCTAACTCCCGAACCGACCGCCCCCGCAAGTCGTAGATTAGTTAAAGCAAGTACGGGAGGCTTTATTTAGGGGAACGAGGTTCTAAAAGGCAAAACGACCGGTCGGGTCGTTACATTCTCCACCTCTTAATCAAACGTTCGTCCTCGAACGGACATAGAAAAGTACCTGGACTGCTGAATAAGTGGGGATATCTGCTCCGCATGTCCTCCTCGGACTCCCAGGTCGCCTCCTCGACCGGTTGGCCCCTCCACTGGACTCTCACCGCAGAAATCTTCTTGGACCTCAGCTGGCGATCTTGTCTATCAATAATGCAATTGGCTCCTCCTCATAGCCCAAGCTCTCATCTAACTGAATGGTGCTGAAGTCCAACACGTGTGATAGGTCGGCATGGTACTTCCGAAGCATCAAAACATGGAAAACTGGATGAACTCCCGATAAACTAGGGGGTAAGGCGAGCTCATAGGCAACCTCCCCAACTCGTCTCAACACCTCGAAGGGCCCAATAAACCTGGGGCTTAGCTTGCCCTTCTTCCCGAACCTCATAATGCCCTTCATTGGCGAGACCTTCAAGAGAACCTTCTCGCCAATCATGAATGATACATCACACGCCTTCTGATCCGCGTAACTCTTCTGTCTGGACTGAGCTGTGCGGAGCCTCTCCTGAATCAGCTTTACCTTATCCAAGGCATCCTGTACCAAATCTGTACCAAGTAACTTAGCCTCGCCAGGCTCAAACCACCCGATAGGGGAACGACAACGTCGACCATATAAAGCCTCATAAGGGGCCATCTCCATGCTGGACTGATAGCTGTTGTTGTATGCAAACTCTGCTAGAGGCAAGAACTGATCCCACTGCCCTCCAAAATCATTCGCACATGCTCTAAGCATATCCTTCAAGATCTGCACTGTCCGCTCTGACTGTCCGTTGGTCTGGGGATGGAATGCTGTGCTAAGCTCTACGTGAGTCCCCAACTCACTCTGCACGGCTCTCCAGAAATGGGTAGTGAACTGAGGGCCTCGGTCTGATATGATGGAAACCGGCACACCATGCAATCGAACTATCTCCCGAATATAGATCTGAGCATACCTCTCCGTTGTATAAGTGGTCGCCACTGGGATGAAATGGGCCGACTTGGTCAATCTATCCACAATGACCCACACTGAATCAACCTTCCACAATGTCTGCAGTAACCCTACTACGAAGTCCATGGTGATGCGTTCCCACTTCCACTCTGGTATGGGCATCTGCTAAAGTAGCCCACCTGGCCTCTGATGTTCATACTTGACCTGCTGGCAATTCAAACACTTAGTCACATACCTCACTATGTCCTTCTTCATCCCTCGCCACCAGTAATGCTACCTCAAATCACGATACATCTTCGTAACCCCCGGGTGGATAGAATACCGCGAACTGTGTGCCTCCTCTAGGATCCTCTCCCTCAGACCATCAACATTAGGAACACATAGACGACCCTGGAGTCGCAAAACACCATCCTCGCCAATAGAAACCTCCTTGGTACCTCCCTGAAGTACCATCTCTCTGAGAACTGCCAAAATGTGGATCATCAAGCTGTTGGGCCTTAATCTCCCCCAATAGCGAGGACTGAGCAACCACACATGCTAGAACTCGGCTGGACTCTGAAATGTCCAACCTCACAAGTCTGTTAGCCAAGGACTGGATGTCCAGAGCTAGGGGCCTCTCCTCTGCTGGAATGAATGCCAAGCTACCCATACTCTCCGCCTTTCTGCTCAAGGCATCCGTGATCATATTCGCCTTGCCCGGATGATAAAGAATGGTAATGTCATAATCCTTCAGCAGCTCAAGCCACCTGCGCTGTCTCAAATTGAGATCCCTCTGCTTGAATAAATATTGTAAGCTGCGATGATCGGTGTACACCTCACAAGTCACCCCATACAAATAGTGCCTCCATATCTTAAGAGCATGAACAATCACTGCCAACTCCAGATCGTGCACGGGGTAATTTTTCTCGTGAATCTTCAGCTGACGTGAGGCATATGCAATAACTCGCCCCTCCTGCATCAACACACATCCCAAACCAACGCGTGAAGCGTCGCAATACACAGTATACATCCCTGCACCGGAAGGCAACACAAGAA